ATAAGGATTTTTGTTCAATGCTGCTTACAGACTCTTGGCCTCATCACAGAAATACCGAGCAGATTGTTGGAAAGGATCCTTTCGCTATGGATGAGAGTTTATAAAACCCTAGCTTTTCTACTATTGTGGAGGCAGAGGGACCGCAATACAAAAGGAGCTGATGAAGCCTGCTCTATCTGGTCCCACCTTGCTCTTCTCTGATAGGCCTTGATACTTGAATTAGGGAATTCTACAAACACAGGAAAGAACAGGTACTAAAAGTGTAATGCTCTTTCCTGTTTCCACTTCTAGGAATTTACATAGATGGAGGATAATTCCACATTTTTCCTTCTGGTCCATTATGTAAGGAAGAGTGTATTTGGTCTGAGTTTCCCCAAGGCACTGATCCTGCATAAGACAGGCAAGCATGGCTGGTAGGTGTGTGCTTGGAGAATCTTTTTAAAATTACCGTATAAAAATTTACAGTTATTCCACTTCCAAATTACATGCTGCCAAATGACCAGAAAGAAACTAGATCATCTATCAGTCATGATTTCCAGCTAAGCAACTGGGGTTACAGAGTTATAGTACTCAAACTAATATTTACCTGTTTTTCAGTTTGCATTTAAACAGACAAAATAGAAGAAAAGAAGTATTTGACATCGCTTTTCATTCCCTGCATTTATGTAGGACAGGTAGCATTCCCTCATCTGTAAAAACAATGTGTAAATGCACAGTTCAGTAGCATCTACCCTCGGGATAGACACACAGCAGTCTCTCCCTGTCAGACACACTACGTGAATATGAGTTTGCCCAGTTCAAACTGGGTGAAAGGTTTTCTGGAACTAGAATGAGAACTAAAGACGACAGAGTTTTGTCATAAAATTACTTCCTGATCATAAAGCTCACTAGTTACTATGGCTCTGAACCAGCAAGTAAAGGCGGCACTGTTGGTGCCTCTGCTGGTATGTATCAGGATAAATGCTAAAAAGGAATAATAACTGTTCTTAACACTAGAAAATTTGATACGCATAAGAGAAATGATTGGGTTACAAATGCAGTTGAAATTCGAGAGCTAAATTCTGGCCATGTTCCAATTAGTAGAACTGGGAAGTGAGTGGCAAAGATCATGAGAGTCATGTAATTTTTATTTGAAAACATAGAGGCTCTTATCTCTAAAGGTTTACCAGCAAAATGAAAGGCACTATGTTTTGTGTAAAGGAACAGAATGAGACCATTACTTTTTAAAAAAACAGATTTTAAAATTATTAAAAATATGAAAAAATGCGTCTCTCTCTTTTCTCAGCCCTCATAATATCAATATAAACTAAACAGCATCATTGTTCCTACTGTTTGAATGGGGAACTTCTGCCAGATAAAGTGTACTCTTTGTTGAATCTGCAACATGCAAATGAGAAAGACCATGAACCAGAGGGGCCAGCTGTATGGCCCAGCCAATGATTTAAGTAAATAAGAGTTTTGACAAAAGTAAACACTTTAAAGTTAGGCAATAGATAAGTGGTCAAATATCACAGAAAATAAGAAGAAATAGTTATGCCATTTAAATCATTTGACTGGTGAGCCAGTTAGACATTAAATTTAGAAATTGGTTGCTAAAAAAAAACCCCACCCTGAAGGAAAAGACTGGGAGAAATTCCTATCTGGACAGACATTAAGGAATAACCCCTGACACTGCAGTAGCAAGTACGGCTTCTATCATATGTACTGAAGAGAGATTACAAGAAGTGATAGCAAAGTCTCTGGCCAATTCCAATGGTGTAAAATAGCAAGAGTAGAAGCAGATCTTCCGCACAATATTCCGGAACAGTTTATCTTTTCTAGTGGGGGTGTACAATGTCAGGATGACCTTTTGATTGTTTGGTACGGGTTGTCAAGGGTAAGTAATGGCTCTAATTTTTTGTTTAAATATTAGCTAGTGGATGGTCTAGCTGAGCCCTGAAAGACACAGTCTGTAATAACACTGGGCTAAGAATCACATCAGTAAAAAGTGAGTATGTCTGGGAAATTTGCTCCAGTAGGGTTGAACTGGTGAAAATATAATTTCTGATCAGATTTATAGCAAAAATTGACCATTACACAAAGCAGTTCAGTTGCAGAGACAGAAAAAACTAGGCAAGTCTCTTAGAAGTATCTTAAATACTGTATAGCTGTCAACTCACATATGGATTCAGACAGATGATAGTGTTATGGGATCTTAATAAGTCATCTGAGATTAAAAAAATGTTCAGATGTGTGGACCCTCAGGTCCTTTTTCCCCCATTCAGACAGATGGATGATATTTTCCAATATAAAAGAAAGCTATATTAGACAATGATGCATAGCTAGAATTGGGAATAGAAACAGAAAGGTTGATGGTTTGTGTAAGATAAACTGACAAGAAGGATTCCTACCCTCTTTGAGATGAAGAGTGGTTGGGATGGACTTGCAAAATGACAAACATTAGCCAAGCAGGAGGGAGGAAAGAAAAGAAATGAAACCACTTCATGAAAATGATGTGTGTCTAATGGAAGAAAATTATCATAAAGTGCAATGTTTCCAAACAACCATGAAAAATACTTTTATGCTATTGCCGTTTCAAATAGGTACGTACTGTACAGAACTCCCTTGTCTAAACGCCATACTGAGGGAGTTAAGAATCTACTTTTTGTCCAAGAGCATCTGATATAAAATCAATTGTAACAGTTGAACAGACCTCCAGGACTAGAATACATGATCTTTTCATAAAACTGCAGAAGTAGTCCCAGGAGCAGAATCAAAATTCAACTTCACTTCTTAAATAACAGTCCTATCCTTTATGCTGTAGAGGCATGCTGCCTCCTTTCTTCTGAATCAGTGAGAATTAAATTGGTGATCTTAAAGGTCTTTTCCAACCTAAATGATTCTATAAACTCTTTGAATTAATACAGCCTAACAATTGGGGTAGTCTTCTCACAGGCATGTATTTCAAGTCCATAGGCAGAGAACGCACCAAGACTTTCACATTCTTTCCAAGTGTTTGGCCCCACAAACTGTTTCAAAATTATGTAGAGAAACCCCCACTTTGAAAGATGGAGGGAGACCTCCTGTAAGAGGAATCTGAGCTGTGGATCTCATATGAACCTTCCAACCCTCAACTCTAGGAGCTGAGAGTCTAAAGCTGTGGCTTTCAGACACTGCCCCATGTTCAGCATTTTTTGTTACCTAGCTGTTGGCCATTTTATAATAAACTGATTTGAAAAAAAGGCAATGATCAAAAGTTGCAGCAATCAAAATTCCAATTAGTTATAAGAAAAAAAATCCTCTCACGGTGAGAGCCGGCAAACTCTGAAACAGGTTGCCCATAAAAGTTGTGGAATCTCCATCTCTAGAGGTGTTCAAAATTCATCTGGACAAAGCCCTGAGAAACCTGATCTAACTTTGAAGTTGACCTGCTTTAGTAGGGGAGGGCAGGGTTGCAATAGATGATTTCTGGTAGTTTTGTCTAACCTGAATTATTCTCATAGAATCAATCATAGAAAGGTTTGGGTTGGAAGGGACCTTACAGATCATCTAGTTCCACCTCCTCTTCCACGGGCAAGAACACCTTCCACTAGACCAGGTTGCTCAAAGCACCGTCCAGCCTGGCCCAGGGATAGGGCATCCACAACTTCTCTGGGCAACCTGTTCCACTGCCTCACCACCTCCATAGTGAAGAATTTCTTCATCATGTCCAATATAAATCTACCCTCTTTCAGTTTAAAGTGATTACCCCCTGTCCTATCACTACATGCTCTTGTAATAAGTCCCTCTCCAGCTTTCTTGTAGGCCCCCTTCAGATACTGGAAGGCTGCTATAAGGTCTCCACGGAGCCTTCTGTTCTCCAGGCTGAACAACCCCAGCTCTCTCAGCCTGTCTTCACAGGAGAGGTGCTCCAGTCCCCTGATCATCTTCGTGGCCCTCCTCTGGACTAACTCCAACAGGTCCATGTCCTTCTTATGTTGGGCGCCCCAGAGCTGAACACAGTATTCCAGGTGGGATCTCACAAGAGCAGAGTAGAGGGGGAGAATCATCTCCCTTTCTGGCTTTCTGGGCTGCAAGCACACATTGCTGGGTCATGTTGAGCTTCTCGTCAACCAACACCTCCAAGACCTTCTCCTCAGGGCTGCTTTCAATACATTCTCCGCCCAGCCTGTATTTGTGCTTGGGATTGCCTGACCCATGTGCAGGACCTTGCACTTGGCCTTGCTGACTTCATGAGGTTTGCATGGACCCACCTCTCAAGCCTGTCAAGGTTCCTCTGGACGGCATCCCTTCCCTCAGGGCGTCAACCATACCGCACAGCTTAGTGTCGTCAGCAAACTTGCTGAGGGTGCACTCAATCCCACTGTCCATGTTGCTGACAAAGATGTTAAACAGTGCTGGCCCCAATGCCAACCCCTGAGGAATGCCACATGTCACTGGTCTCTGCTTGGATATCGAGCCATTGACTGCAACTCTTTGAGTGTGTCCAACCAGCCAATTCCTTATCTACCGAGCGGTCCAACCACCAAATCCATTTCTCTCCAATTTAGAGACAAGGATGTCATGTGGGACAGTGTCAAATGCTTTGCACAAGTCCAGGTAGATGACATCAGTTGCTCTTCCCTTGTCGACTAATGCTGTAACCCCATTGTGAAGGCCACCAAATTTGTCAGACACAATTTTCCCTTAGTCAAGCCATGTTGGCTGTCACCAATGGCCTCTTTATTTTCTGTGTGCCTTAGCGTAGTTTCCAGGAGGATCTGTTCCATGATCTTGCCAGGCACAGAGGTGAGACTGATTGGCCTGTAGTTCCCCAGGTCTTCCTTTTTTCCCTTTCTAAAAATTGAGGTTATGTTTCTCCTTTTCCAGTCAGTGGGAACTTCATTGGACTGCCACGACTTCTCAAATATGATGGATGGTGGCTTAGCAACTTCATCCACCAGTTCCCTCAGGACCCGCAGATGAATCTCATCAGGTGCCATGGACTTGTGCACCTTCAGGTTCCTTAGATGGTCTCAAACCTGATTTTCTCCTACAATGGGCAGTTCTTCATTCTCCCAGCCTTCTGTGACTTCAGTTGTGTGGCTAGAGCACTTGCTGGTGAAGAGTGAGGCAAAAAAGTCATTGAGTACCTCAGCCTTCTCCATATCTCGGGGGTAACCACGTCTCCCATTTCCTTCTGGAGAGGGCCCATGTTTTCGCTTGTCTTCGTTTTATCACCAACATATCTATAGAAGCTTTTCTCATTGCCCTTGATGTCCCTGTCCAGATTTAATTCTATCAGGGCTTTAGCTTTCCTAAGCTGATCTCTTGATGCTTGGACAATTTCTCTGTATCCCTCCCAGGCTACCTGTCCTTGCTTTCACCCTCTGTAGGCTTCGGTTTTGTGTTTGAGTTTTCCAGGAGCTCCTCATTCATCCATGCAGGCCTCCTGGCATTTTTGCCTGACTTCCTCTTTGTTGGAATGTGTCACCTCTGAGCTTGGAGGAGGTGATCCTTGAATATTAACCAGCTTTCTTGGGCCCCTCTACCCTCCAGGGCTTTATCCCATGGTACTCTACCAAGCAGATCCCTGAAGAGACCAAAGTCTGTTCTCATGATGTCCAGGGTAGTGAGCTTGCTGTGCACCCTCCTTGGTGCCCTAAGGATCTTGAACTGCACCATTGCATGGTCACTGCAGCCAAGGCTGCACTTGAGCTTCACATTTCCCATCAGCCCCTCCTTGTTGGTGAGAACAAGGTTCAGCATAGCACCTCTCCTCATTGGGTCCTCTATCATTTGGAGAAAGAAGTTATCATCAATGCATTCCAGGAACCTCCTGGATTGCTTATGCCCTGCTGTATTGTTCCTCCAAGAAATATCAGGGTGGTTGAAGTCCCCCATGAGAACCAGGGCTTGTGAACGTGAGGCTGCTCCTATCTGTCTACAGAGGGCCTCATTCGCTTGGCCTTCCTGGTTGGGTGGCTTGTAGCAGAACCCCTCTGTAATGTCACCTGTCCCTGCCCTCCTTTTAATCCTGACCCATAAGATCTCTGTTGGCTCCTCATCCATCCTGAGGCAGAGCTCCATGCACTCCAGCAGGTCATTGACATAATGGGCGACATCCTCTTCTTGTCTCCACTGTCTGTCCTTCCTAAAGAGCCTGTATCTTTCCATTCCAACACTCCACTCATAGAAGCCATTCCACCAGGTCTCCATGATGCCATCATAGCTCTGGAGGTGTGCACACGTCTCTAACTCCTATTGCTTATTCTCCATGATATGTGCGTTTGCATAGAGGCATTTAAGTCGGGCCCCAAGTGAAGCTGACTTACTGGCTGGAGTAGCTGGAGTGGCTATTCTATTCTTCTATGATAATTTTCTTTCCTTTAGAGCCCACTGATACCACTAAGCCTTCTCAGATGGTATACAACTAATAGTAATGTCTGTGCTTACATGGATGATCAGGAGTCAAAGAATTAAGCTTCTCAGCAGGTGACCGTGAGTATTAACTGTGAGATTTACAAAAAGTAAATTATGCTTTGTAGACCTGTTTGCCTTCTACAGTAAAATGGCTAGATGTGTGGATGAGTGAATAGCTATGTATGCTGTCTATCTTGGCTTTACCAAGGCCATTTTGACACCATCTTCCATGGTATCCAAGATGGAACCCAGTTTTCTGGGTGGATGCATGATTAGATCAGTGAAAAACTGCCTGGGTCATGAGGGTAGTGATTAACCATCTCTACTGGAAATCCAGTTGCAAATTAATTTCCTCAGGGGTCTATCCTGTGAACTCTCCTGCTTTGTATCTTCACCAGTACTTTGGATGACACAAAGTGGAGATGATACACTGAAGGACAAGGCAGCCATTCAGAGGGACCCAGACTGACTACAGAAATGGGCAGACACAGAATTAATGCAATTAAAAAAGGTCAAATGCAAAGTCTTGTATGTGGGATGAACCAACTCCCACCTCTGCATCATCACAAACTGGATGCTGCCCAGCTGGTTAGCAGCTTTGCTGAAAAGGACCTGAGAATCCCAGTAGACAGCAACTTAAATATGGGTCAGTAGTGTTCCATGGTAGCAGGTAAAACTAACAGCAAGTTGGACTGTATTAAGAAGAACATATCCAGCTGATCAAGGAACATGACTGTTCCCCTTTACTCAGCACTCGTTAGATCACAGCTGGAATACCACATTGAGTTTGGAACTCCCTCTGCACAAAAAAGACATTGATAAACTGCAGAAAGTTAAGTGGAATGCCACCAAAATGGTCAGGAGGTGGAGCACAAAGTACAAGGGGAGGCTGAAGGAACTGGGTTTGTTCAGCATGGGAAAAGAGGCCATTTTGCTGCTAGCAACTGTCCAGTACATATGATAAAACTACTGAAAAGACGGAGCCAAGCTCTTTACAGTGATGCATAATGGGAGGATGAAAAAGAATGGTCAGAAATTAGGAGGGAAAGTTCTGGCCAAACACAGGGAAAGCATTTTCACCAGAGGGATGCTCAAGCACTGAAGCAGGTTTTCTGCCCAGGAAGGCTATGGCATTGCCTTACTGGACAAAGCCCTGAGAAACTAGGGCTGAATTCAGTGTTAAACTGGCTTTGAGCAAGGGGTTGGATACTTGAGCAAGGGGACCAATGAGTCTATGGCCTAACAGTTAAAGTGGTGTGTCTTCTTGATTGAACAAAAGACTTCAACATGGTAAACCCCAATTTAAATGGATGAGAACTTGCTTTTATATCAAGCTGGTATTTTCTTCTTCAAGAACTCAGGAACGTCACTATTTTAACAGAACTCTGCTGTATTGAAGTCTTCTCAATGCCACTCATCCACCACAATTTTTATAGCTTCTCTGACTGTGAACACAGAGCCCAGTATGGTGTTCCCACTGCTGCAAGGTACCCGGAAATCTGGCCAGGTTCTTTTCTGTGTTACCCTCCTGTAAAAGTCTGGTTTTGAAGACAAAGCTGTCAGCAATGCTACTTTATCCCTGACTATATCAAGATGCAAATTAATGGCATGGGCAGGGGAGGAGGCTACATTATAAATATGAGCATGGATTTTTATTGTTCACAGATGTCTTTATGTCCTCACAAAATTCTCTCCCTGCCCTAAATGTTCATCGTAATAGCTAAGAAATGGAGACTGAATTGCTTTTCAGCTTTAATAATGAATCCGCAAGTGGAGGGAATAGGTTTTGTCTGCAGTTTCTGAATTTCTTTTAATAGCAAAAATTGCTTCATATAATTCATTTATGTAAATATCCCCATGGAGTAACTGCATCAAACTCCTTGACAACTTAAAAGTGCTATGCTTGTGTTATTGCAAAGCATCCTGCTGCCTGGTGGGTTTTGGCAGAAATCTAGTAAACAGGCGTAACTCAATTACACGAGTTTTAATACAGAACTGAATTATTTTATTCATAACATTGGTGTTCTATGTGTTTATTAAACTGTCCTGCCTGCTTTTTTCTGTGTTGATTAAATGGAAGTCAAACTGTTAAAAGAATCATTTGAGGATATTACGCTGAATTCTCTGCTGATATAAATTGGCACGTACCAGGTTTGGTCCAGCAGTTTCAGTAGAGGAGCAGAAATTTAACAATCCTGCCTTACAGCCTAGGCAACTTATAGCAATTGAGCATAAACTTGAGCAACTAATCAGCAGACTGAAGAATCCAAGTGTCTCTGGTTGTTTCCTTTGTTGTTTTCTTTTTTTTTTAATTCTACTGAGTTTAGTTTATTTCTGGAAACAAATGGTTGCTGGAGAAGAAATTCTAAGAAATGTCATATACAAACAATTTATTGTGGGCAAAAATATCCTTAGAATGAAGAAATATATTTTGGATCTGTAGCAAAAAGCCCATCATCAGCAAATAAAAAATGTTATTTTTTTCCTACCAACAGCCATATGGCTTTAGAACTGACTGATGGATGCCATTGCATGCCAAAGATGATGGTGGCATTTGTGCATTTAATAAAAGCACATATTTCTTTGTCCTTTGAAAGTCTCATTTTATCCATGTGCACTGTGGGTACATCACTGGAAACTATAAATTCTTGCAGGTTCAGATAAGCTGTTACTGCAGGCAAGAAAAATCTCCCCAGAAATTTTTGACCAGCCAGGGGAATTTATGAAAGCTCATAACGGGCAAGCAATAGCTCGAGCTTCTGACAAACTTCTTTCCCTCTCTCCCCTGATATATCTCCCCTTCTACATCTTAATCATCTAAAAGCAAGATACCACCTTCTAGACTCTGAATACTCTGCCACTGCTCTTTTTGAATGTGAAATGGTCACTCTCAAACACAGGAGTACAGAGGGAGGTGCTTCCTTCCACAGAAGAAACCAAATGCTCCATGAGCTTCTTTAGGCACCGAGGGCCAGGTTGACTGAGCAGTTTCTGGCCCAAGGGAGTTGGGACTCCTGACTATCAACCCCTGCATAGTGAGGAACCACAGTCCTACTCAAGGGCAAGGTAACATCTTATTCCCATGCAGGACTAAGTACACAATTTAAGAGTTTCCAAGGAACACTTCCAAACTCCAGATCCTACTTATGCTGGGTGGAGCTGTTGGCAGTTAAGACAACGACTACAGAAGCTAAGCACTTCTAAAAAGCAAATGAGTGGAAACATTCTGTAATGCTGCTAGGGATTCTGTGCTTTGGGAATCTCTGATAAAATGAACAAGATAATAATTAAGGTAATCTCAGACTATGCAAGCATTTTCAACAAGAGCATACAAGAATATCTAGATTAGATTCAAGTCTTTTTTATGTTAGAAAGCTCTTAAAACTCCCCAAATTTTATTGCTTGGTAAGCCTGAAACCAAGCAAAACATTTCAAAAGCAAACTGATTTCATGATTTTTCAAAGTAAATGGGGTGCATTTCCCAGATATATCTAAGGCAACCTTCTATGTTTTTGTTACATGATTGTACAATTGCATACAATGTGAAATTGGGGACTAACTCTTAAAAGCAAGAAACTGAGCAAGACATTTCATGGTTCCTGTTGGTTCCTCTTATGCATAGCCCTCTGACACTGGGCAGAATAAAGCAACTGACTTTTCAGCACAAGGCACTTACTCTCTAGTTGGAGTCAAACACCAAAGTCCTCAGTACAAGCAGAAAAAGGGAACAAGGAATACACTGTAA